AAGCTACTCAAACTTAAAGGAAGTAGAAGTAAAGAATACAGATAAGGGCTTCCCGGTGGCGCAGAGGTTGAGCGCTGGGTTGAGAAGCTGCCTGCAGCTTCTCACATGGGTCTCACATGGCACGCAGACCTCTCCTGCTGCCCGCTGCTCCCCTCAGCAGTGTACCTTGGTCCTTCTGCCTGCTCTGCTCCCCGCTCTGGCTCTGGTGAATTCTCTCACCCTCCCGTGCTTCTGACTATACCCAGTGCTTGTTTAAATAAATAAATAAATAAATCTTTAAAAAAAAAAAAAAAAAGGATACAGATAAAAGTAGAAACCAAAGAAAGAGGAAATAAATGTACAACCAAGAAAATCAGTAAAAGTCAAAAGTTGATCAAAAAGATAATAAAATTGGGGGAAAAAATCCTTATCAAGATTGATTGAAGAGAGAAAACACTAGTTACCAATACCAGGAATGAAAAAGAAGAATCATTACAGGCCCTATGAACTTTCTAAAAAGATAATAAAGGGATATTATAAACATATATTTGCCAATATATATGCCATTTTGCTAAACTAGATAAATTCCTTGAAAAGAACTTATTAAAACTGACACAAGAAAATTGGGGCCCCTCTGGTGGCGCAAGGGGTTAAGCACAGCACTGTAAAGCTATACACTGCCTCTGCAGCACAAGTTTGAACCCCGACCAGCCAGGGAGCTGCCCACATGGCGCAGCAGACCTCTTGCCCGCTGCTCCCCTCAGCAGTGTATTTCAGTAGATCTGCCTGTTCTGCTCCCCACTCTGTCTCTGGTGAATCCTCTCACCCCCATACTTCTGGCCTGTACCCCTGTTCTTGTATGCATAAATAAATCTTAAAAAAAAGAAACTGAAACAAGAAAAAATAGAAACTTGAGGGGAACTCCCTGGTGGCCTAGGGGTTAAAAATCCCAATCTATCACCACTATGGCCTGAGTTTGATCACCGGCCAGGGAGTTAATCCACATGGCGCAGCAGACATCTCTTTCTCCCACCGCTCCCCTCAGCAGTGTATTTCAGTAGCTCTGCCTGTTCTGCTCCCAACTCTGTCTCTGGTGGATCCTCTCACCCCCCACTCCTCTTCCCTGCACTCCAGTTCTACACAAAAATAAATAAAATTTCAAGAAAAAAGAAATAGGAACTTGATAGTCTTCTATTTATTAAATAAAATAATCTATTATTTTAAACCTTCACATACACCCAAGTAACTCAGGTTCAGAAACCTTAGTAAATTCTTCCGAACTTTTAAGTGCCCTCCAGCAAGTAGAAATGGAAACTTACTATCTGCCATCTAGTGATAAGTGACATAACACTAATCTTACAGACAAAAAACTGTTCTTCCAAGCATGGAAAGAGAACACTTCCTAGTTTTTTATTCAGTACTATATAGCCTTGATACCAAAGTTTGACAAAGATATAAGAAAGGGAAATTATAAACTAGTGTCACTCATGAACATGAAGACCCAAATCCTAAATAAAATATTAGCAAATCAAGCCTAGTGATAAGTAAAAATGATACTTATCACAATCACAATGAAGTGGGGCTCGTTTCAGGAATACAAGGATAGTTTAACATGCCTTGCATTTCTAAAAGGGAGGAGTTATTTGATAGTATAGATAGTATAGGAAATGCAGATGATGTATGACCTGATGGAAAAATAGGGAAAATATTTTAACAGAAACTTCATAGAAGAGGATATTCAGATGACCAGTAATCACTTGCAACCCTTCAGAATTGGATGTGGATTTCTTGTCCATCTCCCCCACCATGAAGGCAAGGGCTTTTTGGCCACCTGAGCCCCCGGGACAACGGCTGGCAGATAGCAAGTGCTCGGTTTCTACATAGTAAAGGGCATTACAAGTAGAGAAGTAGCCACACACTTACACACATCCATGATGCCCACTGTCTGGTAGCACCATCACGTATGTGTCCACAGGCACGATGGCACTGGCTTCAGGCCATCTGGGCTTAAGTTCCCTTTTATAGGTAGCATGACAATAACCACATTACTCAACCTCCCTAAGCCTGAGTCTCCTCAGCTGTGAATGGGAGTGGTTCTGGCAGGTTGAGAATCATAGTGCAGAATAATGACACATAGACAGCGTTCCTGTGCTCAGAGAGCAGTAGGATGCTGTCACCATCACTGCTGTCACATACTTATTCAGATACACATGCTGATGCATGCATGTGCTCACACATACATGTGCACAATGCCCAGGCACACAAGTTTCCCCTTGAGCCCCAGAGGAGCAGAGATGCAGAAGAGCCACTCAGGTCATGGGGGCTGCAAGGGGAGGGATGGGACTGCACTCTGATCCCCCGAGAGCCTTCCCCTTTCCCCTGCCTTGACCCTAGATCTTAACCCGGGGACCTGAGATACCAACCCACGTCCAGCCAGGCCCGAGGTCAGAGCAGCTACCATCAAGAGAGTCCCTCCTATGGGCCAGGTGAGCTCCAAGCCTCATTGCCTACGCACTCACAGGCCTGCTCCTGAGGAAGACTCTGACGTGAGAGCCAATCGACAAGTGGAGACATAAAGGCCTAGTGGGTCCAACAACTTATCCAGTCTTTGCTCTCCCCTTTGCTGAGAGTGAGACCCACCCCCCCAGGCTTGCTGGTGGGTCTGGAGCAGCTCACAAGACCTAGATCTTAGGGGCCCATCCCCACCCTGTGGCCAGCGCCCAGCTCCCAATGCTCCAGAAGTGCTGGGCTCCTGCTAGCCCCCTCTCCACTGCCCACTTGATCGCTAAAGCTCTGGACTTTATGGGCGGAGCCTGGGGACTAGACAGGCATTGGGATCCAGGGCAAGGGGTGAGAAGACTCTCCACCCTTCTCTTATAAGCCTGGAGAGTTTCTCCACTGAAGAGTCCCAGCTGGGCCCACTCTTCTGTGACACCAGGTGAAGCTCTAGTTTCCTTATGAGTCAGGCGGAGCAACAAATCCTATTGGATTCAGGAAGAGCAGGATCCGGTGGGAGGGCAGGTATTTCTGAGTGGCAGGGCTGATAAACCTCACAAAGCCTAAACGCCATCACTAACCCCAAAGCTCCTACAGTGTCCCTAGAAGAAGCAGGAGCTCAAAGAAGACCCAGTTTGCACACAAACCTGATGCACTAGGACATCACATGGGAAAATGACGGTCTGGCAGGGAAGGGACTTTGTTGCCACTATGTGTCTACGGTATGTCCACTAGACATGGTGCTGGGGCCTCATATATGTAAACCTCACTGAAAAATCATTAAAAAAAATAATAAAAGAACCCTCACTAGGAGGTGTGGCCACAGCAGAAACCCATCCCCAAAGGAGAAAATCTGTTTCTGATCAGCTAGAAGGAGATGGAGGCGGGGAGGGCCTGCTGGTGAGAGGAAAAAGCAGTGGAGATGATCCCCCCACCCCCACTGGAGGGGGTTGGGGGAGGGGCAGGCACGGAGAGTGAGTGTTGGGCAAACAGTTCTCATCAAACCAGGCAGCAGCAAGGAAGGCCTGGGGTCCCTGCGGGAGAGAGAGCTTAGTGGAGGCGCCAGACTCAGCAGGGTCTCATGACCCCTTGTTCCACAGCAGCAGCTGGGGCCAGCTCCAGGCTCCCTCCCACCTCTGGCTTCTTAAAACAAGAACAGGAAGTGGCCAGCACTGTTTGACAAGTACACAAAACACTGTGAAGAAACCGCATCTGCTCTCCTCACCAGGGGGAATAGCAGGCCCAGAGCAGAGACACCCCTCTCCCCCCGACTCTTGCCACCTACATGTACAGCAGGGCAGAGGCCCCATATACCTCCAGACAAAGCTCAGGGGGACACAGCAGGCTGGATTCCCCTCAGAGATATGTGGCAGCAGCCCCCACTCCTGGAGGCCATGTGCCCACCAGTGACCTCTGCAGCCTGTGGCCCCCAAACTTGTTTGCATATTTGCAACTGTGCATCCAGGTGGACAAGGCACCGCTGCACATTCCCCTGGGGAATGGAAGACTCACTCCTTTCCCATCCCCTCAGAGCCCTCTGGGAAAACCAAGCAGCCCCACGTGTCACCTTCAGCCACTGTCATCCTAGGGGGAAGGTCAGAAAGTCCTGAGAAGAATCCGGAGGACCAGATCAGAGAAGAGAAACACAGGGACAGATGAACACTTGAAGACAAGAGGGAATGAATAAAAAAGTGAATGAATGAAGGAGAAAGCAAGCAGAGAGGTGAGACCGGGATGGAGGGGCCAGGGACACCACCTGGCCAGCTGCACCTCAGGCTGAGACCCGGCATGCTCTGCCTGGCTCTGGGACAGACCCTTTGGGTTGACAAAGCACTTCTGGTCCTGACAATGGACTGATCCTGACATTCTGGGAAGCAAATCCAGCCAGCAGGGTGGAGGATGCTTGCCCAGATTTCTTTAATCCCAGGAGAGGGCGGGAACCTGGAGGGGTACCCTGCCATCTTCTCTCCTGGAAGTCCCCAGGGGCTGAGCTTTAGGGAAAATGATAGCTGGGGCCCCTCTCCATCAACCCCCGCCACTTGGCCTAGTAAACATCAGTCACTGCCTCCAGCCCCAGGCCTTGATATATGGGAGAGAAGGGGGAGGCCACAGGGGGCGTGCCAGGGCTGGACATTGGCCCTGGAAGTATCTCCTCACCTATGTCCCTGGGGGATGACCCCAGCCTTGGAGACCTGGCGCGATCTCTCTGAAGGGGCCGGTAACTACTGTCACCTGTGCTAAACCAATGACAATGCAGCTGTGTCCTCTCTGGGTCTTCTGAGTTTTAGAGCTAAGAGGTGACTCACATCACCTCTGTTCTGCCCACACTGTCGTGGTCCCCAACCCCACTTGACCCACGTGCCTACTGCCACCTGCTTTAGGCAAGGGCCCTGGGACTGCTTTCCTGTTGGACCCAAACCCAAGGACCCCACAGATAGGCTGGCGTGCTCACACATGAGCCTTCTCCCCTGGTCACCACCGATCAGCCGCCATGAGTCACCAGCTCCCCCCCACCTCTTACTCACCGTCCAATGTCAGAGCAGACCTTGGAGTCAGCAGCGACTGCCGCGCGGGCAAAGGCCTGAGGGCCGCAGGGGGTGTGCTGGCGAGAGAGGACCACAGCAGGCACAATGATGGCCAGGGCCAGCCCCAGCCCCAACAGCACCATGCTGACCGTGGCCCCCCGGCTCTGGGCCATCGCTCTGCGACTCAGGGGGAGAAGGGAGGCAGGTGGGCAGACAGATGGACAGATAGGATGGACAAGATGACAGATAAACCCACCAATAACCCAACAGATGGACTAGATGCGGCCAGAGACAAACAAATGGATTTACAGACAGCTGAAAAGATAGGATAAAATGACGGCTGGTCAGAGAAGGGATTACAGCTGGATGGACAGGCAGACAATGGCAGGAAACCAGGCAGGCAGAAGGGTGTTCGGCCAGCCAGCTGGAGACAGTGGCTCTGCCACCTCAAGAGCTCGCGATGGAGGCAGAACTGGCCACAGGCCTGAACTTCCAGTTTTCAACCTCTGCTCTTGGCCCTGGCTGGAGGCCAGCAGCAAAGCTTTTATGGGGAGTTTTTCCTTCCAGAGAGAAAAGGCGTGAACAGCTGCTGTTAACCCCCTCCCTGCCGTTCCCCGCCTGGTCTCCAGAAAGCCCTGAGGGCAGAAACACGCTGCTCAGGGCAGCCCCAGCCCATGGGCTTGAGTATTTGGCATCTGCTGTCCTCAGGACAGCAAGGGTGAAGGACTCAGGACCCCCACGGCCTCTCCCCGGTTCCCAGCAAAGCCAGGACAGCAGGGACAGGCCGCAGGGCCCCTTCCCAGGCTCAGAGGACAAGGGGACCAGGATGGAGCCTTGGCTCCCATCCTCTTGGCATGGGCCTGTCCGGCAGCAGTTTGTCCCGATATCCCCAGAGCCAGAGGACATGGAGGTGTCCAGGGCAGAGGTGGGGGACTCAAGGGAACGTCACTCAGAACCCAGGTTCAAGCCTCAGCTCAGCTGCAGCCTGACCAGGGGGCTGGGGGTGACCAGTAGCTTAGTTTCTCAATCCCCATCAAACACCCCAGACCATAAGACATCCAAGCAAGGAATACAGACAGGATCTCTGTCCAGCCCTTGGTACCAAGTGCCCCACCAGACTGCCGAGCCCTGGCATCTGCTGTTCTGGAAATGCCACCACGGACCTCCAGGGAGTGAGGCTGCCCCTCCATCCGTACCTCTGCCCCTCCCTGGCTGTGTGTCCACTCGTTGGTGGCCATTTGTGCTCTGGGCTACTCCTGCTCTGGCAGTACCTCTTCTCCTGGGGTTACTGGTGTGGCCCCTGCCCTGCCTGGACCTTAGGATGTCTAACTGGGAGGCAGCTGGGGGAGTAGGGACCCACAAAGGAGCCACCCTGACTGGGCTCAGCAGAGGCACAGGATGCAAGGGACATGGGTTGGACTCCCACCCACAGACCTCTCATGCATCCTCCTGGCCTCCTTTCTAGAGGAGCATTGGCCTCCTCTGATTTTGTTATATAACCCTGTGTACTGTTTTCTACACAGCAGAGAAACTGAGAGACAGAGTGACTACCCCTGTGCAGTCACATAGATGTCCAGTCCCCCACATGGAGGCCCTGGTCAGCCTGAGCTGGAGAAGCTACTAGGGTAGGATCCCTCACAGGCCTGTTTCCAAGGCTGCCTTGTTGGGTGGGGAGGGCTCCATGGGAGTGCTTCCTCCCATTGCTACTACCCCCCACGCCACAATGACATTGCTCAACCAGAAACTCAAGCACATTCCTGGGCCAGGGCCAGCCCACCCTCTGGGAGGCAGGGGCAGTGGGAACAGTGGGGTCATCAGGATCTAGGAGACATCCCCTCTCCTCCCCCTAGCCACTCCTTATGGACAGAGCCAGGGTGCAGGGAGCACAGAGTGAAGGCTTGGGAAAAGAGCAGATATCACGCCAGGCCTGTCTAGTGGTACAGCCAGGAAAGGTCCTAAATGCCTTGTCTGGGAGATAAGGGGCAGGAGGTGGTGAGGAGAGGGAACCAAGTCCCCCGGCCCCAGACGCAGCCCTGAGCCAACCTCTGGCCCCTGCAAGTCAGGGGCCTGGGAAGCTTCAGAGTCAGCGCCCACCTCCATGTGTAGCAAGGCCCCTCCTTGGGCCTATTTCCTTGCCTGCAAATGGGGTCAAAATGAGGGCTGTGGAGTGACTTCCACACCACACCAACCCAGCCTCCATCCCATCCCCCAGTGATCCCACGGTCCTCCAGGACCCAGGGCTCAGACTCTACAGGCATAAAACTGTATTTCCCATGGATATTACGGAAGCCCCAGGTTTTCTGACCTTGCCAGTCCTCTATGCTCCCTACCCTCAGGGAAGAGTTTATCTGTCTATCCATCTGTCCATCCCCACTGTGCTCACTGATAGTGGGGATATCTGGCCGTTGGTTGCGACCCCCTTTTCCCTGGCCTCCTCCGCTGGCCTTTCCTCGCACCTCACCTCTGTGTCCACAAGAGTTAGCAGGCCCTGAGGAGGGTAGAAGGGCCTGGCCCACAGCGGAGGAGGCAGAATGCCGTGTCCTCTCATCCCTCCCCAGACCTGTTCCCCTTGGCTGTCATCCCTGCCAGCTGCCTGTCCAAGCCCTGACCCTCAGGGATCTGGGGACTTCTTCCATTTCACTGTGCCCTGAGAACTGGGCCTCATTCTGGAGCTGATTATAGCTTGATTTCACTCTGGGTTTCTTTGGAAAATCCCCCAGGTCTGGCTCTAACCAATAAGTTTTGCTCCATCCTCTTGCCCAATCCCACTCCTCAGACCTCAGCTTCACCTCCGAATGTCCTCAGAGGGTGAACCCAGTCTGGTGAGGAGGTGCGGACTTCCCAGCACACAGCCTGGCGCTGCTGCCTGGGTCCCAAGTAAATGCCAGAGCTGCAGCACCCTCTGGTGGCCAATATAGGAACTGCCACTCCCAGCCAGGGAAGGGATGGCCTGGCTGAGGAAGGACAGTGCTGGGCAGGGTGCAGTCCCCAGCTCCACCCCCACCCACTGGGAACCTCATGGAAATGTTGATGCTACCTCTAGTGCCTGGGTTGTAAAGACCTCCAAATCCTGCCTCTCCATCTTCCGGGGCTAGGTGACTGCATTTCACACAGAGAATGCTGCAGCTTAGAAAGCCAGGAGCCAGCAAGGCTGTCCAGAGCCTGGCGCTGCAGCCCCCATTTATTGCACTTCTTTGTCACCCACAGGGGAAGCACATCTCCCAAAGTCCCACTCTGGCCCTGACAAGCATCTTTTTCCTGGGTTGCCGGTCAGCCTTGTCCCCTGGGTGCTCAGTAGCCAGCAGGCTCCCCGCCTTTCCTGGAGTCTGAGGCAGCTGCCCAGCCATCAGTCGTGCGGGTGATGGCCTGCACCACAGCAATAAAGGTGGACCTGATATCCGTGTAGTGGTTCCGGGTCTTCAGAGCTGTAACCACGGCCTGGAGGTAGGAGAGGAGATCGGGGCCTCAGCAGGGCTCATGACGCCATCTGAATCACACCTACACAGTCTTGGGCTTCAGAGACCCAGATGGAGATATTTCCAGCCAAGTGACCAGAAGAGTGAGTTGCATCTGTGAGGTATCATTGGAGCGGACAGCCTGGCCCCATGTACAAGGACTCAAGATGACACAGGCAGGGGGGTGAGGGTCACCTCCTCCAGACAGAGGACACCAGCCATTATCTACGCTGTGATGACTTGAGAGATCCAAGCTTCCACCCCAGGACACCCTATGGACACCCACTGTGACTCAGTTTCCCCACCCCACCTGGTCAATGTCTTTCTCCAGCGTTGTGGTATTGGGTAGAAGTTGATTGTGCAGCCGGGGCTCCTCTACTGCCCTCTTCGCATCGTAGCCGAACCACAGGCTATTGATAATGGCCTGGAGGTAGGGTGGGAATGGGGTCAGCATGGCCCTGGGGCAGGGGCTGGGCGGACAGGAGGGTGGCACATACCAGTGCAGTGGCTGTGGTGATCTGTGTGCCCCCGGAAGCGCCCACCACCATGCGGACCCGACCATCCTGGCCAACGATGATTGCTGGGCACATCGATGAGAGTGGCTGCTTTCCTGTGGTGGGAGGGGCAGAGACACTGTTAGCTGCCTGCCCAGGACACCAGCCAATCCCACCCCACCCAATCCCCCAATGCCACACCTGGCATGATGAAGTTGGCTGGAGAGGGGGGTACCCCAAACTGGTTAGTGATGTTAGGGGAGCTGAAGTCATCCATTTCATCATTGAACAGGATTCCACTGACAGGTGATCGCACCTTGGAACCAAAGCTGCAGACCAGTTGGGTCAGAAACTGTCCACCCTAGTCCTGCCCCACCCATCAGAAGACTTCCCACCCACCAAAGTGCCAACTAGCTCCCTGTGGGACGGGAGCAAGCACTCTATAAGTTGGGGCCTCAGTTTCCCGTCATGGAAGGGGGTGATGGAGTCCCCTCGAGGACATGCAGGCAGCCCCTGGCCCACCCAGGCCACCTGGCGGCCCGTACTAGAGGTTGATGGTACTGGTAGCTGACACGGCGCTGCCATCTTCCGAGACCACTGACAGGTGGGCAGTACCCCCGTCGTTGGGCGTGTAGAACTCAGGCTCATAGTAGGAGGCCGGGTATGTGGTGTCATCGGAGATCCGGGCCCGGAGTTGGGCGGCAAAGAACTCGGAGGTCATGTTGCGGACCACCTGCCGAGACCCCAGAGCTGGCCTGAGGAGGTGGGGGGGGGGCAGGGAGGGGGCACAGGCTTGTGGGAGCAGCTCTCAGGAGACCCCTGACCATGGCTCTGACCACAACCCTCCTCCATCCTGAACCTCGCTGACCCCTGTGGCCCCCTCGCACTGTCTCTGCCATAGTCCAGCGACTCTGTCTGTGTGTAGCTACCCTCAAACCCTGCTCTCGTTGCATTCAATCGTTCATTCATTTGTTGGACTGTGTGCCTGACACTGGGACACCAGCCAGAACCAGACATGCAGGTTCCTGCCCTGGTGGCAGAGAATGTGTCTGAAAGAACAAGTCAGGTAAGGGGCATGGAGATACAGAGAAGACTTCTTGGAGAAGATGACATCTGAAAAGAGCCCTGATTGAGGCCTGAACTGTAAATGCAAAGGCCTTGAGGAAGGCTCCTCAGGCAGAGAGCGAGTGGGGTGAGGGAGAGGGGTGGTTGAAGATGTCAATAGGGGGTGACGTTCTTATAGGAATCCACAAGCATCTCCAAGGACTTTTGGTTGAGCCACAGAGGCTTGGGGCAGAAGAGTGAGATTCCCTGGGGGTGTTTTCACAGGATACCTCAGGCAGCATTGTGAGGAATAAGGGTAAACCCAACTGGGAGGTAAGATATCAACCAGGTATGGAGATGATGGTCACTTGCCCAAGTGGGAGAGAAAGAGGAGTCAAAGGTGACCCTAAATCTTCAGGCCAGAGTGGTGGTTGACTGGAGAGGTGAACACCATGGAAGGGGCAAAACTGGGGACAGTGGGAGCTTGATTTGGGATGGGTGCCCATTGGAGACTGAAGACATATGTCAAGTGGGCTGCGAAGTTCACAAGTAAGATCAGGC